TCCAGGTGGGGTCTCACTGGGGCAGAGCAGAGGGGGAGGAGAACCTCCCTCGCCCTGCTGGCCACGCTCCTCTTGATGCACCCCAGGATGCCCTTGGCCTTCTTGGCACCAAGGGCACCCTGCTGGCTCATGGCCACCTTGTCCCCCACCAGGACTCCCAGGTCCCTCTGGGCAGAGCTGCTTCCCAGCAGGTCAGCCCCCAGCCCGTACTGGTGCATGGGGTTCAACCTCCCCAGGGGCAGCACCCAACAGTTGCCCTTGTTGAATTTCATCGGGTTTTGTCCCGTTGGACTCTCTGGAAAGCCTTAGCATAACCTGGAGAGGGCAGAGAGGAGCGGATGCCCGCGGCTGGACGTACCTGCGTCGGGTGGGAAGGGGTTTGGTGCGGTCACCGTGCCCCTGCCCTGCTGGGATGGCCCGCGGGCGTGCGGGCTGCTGCCATTGCTTGCGGGACAAGGAACCGGCCTCAGCTGCGCTGGCTCCAGGGGGTCGCAGAACTCAAACGGGGTCCGGCCAGCCTGCACGGCCTGCCCGCTGTTCATCGCTACAGATTCATTACGTTAGAAAAAAAATAAAGGAAAAAAGCACAAGTCAGATCTCTTCCCAAGGCTCGTTGCAAGATCACCGGCACTCAGCAAAATCCTCACCCTGCCAGGGAGGGAGCTGGCGTCGGTAAGTTTGGAGGGTGAGAAGGGGGTTGTGGTGGGATGTCACCTCGCCTAAAGCCAAAGGCTCTGTCCCACGCGTGGCTTGGTCACCCGCAGCCACCCTGGGGGAGCCACCCCGGGTGACAACAGCCCCCGGGCAGCACCGCAGCTCCTGCACGCTGTGCCACGCTGTGTGAGGGTAAGGGGATTCAGGAGCCGGGCTGGCACCCCAAAACCAGTAGCTGGAGCTTAAAATAATCTGCTGGGCATAAAAACTAAAAATAATCAACTGAAAGAAAGGCAGGGGGATGGGGGCTGCATCTGTCTCCTGTGTGTAGAGAGGTTTTGGGTGCTGCTAAGAGCGGGGTATCAGGACCAGAGTGAATTATAGAAGCTGAAGTGCAGCTCCCTCGCTGGATGTAGCCGCATGGACCAGGCTCTGCTCCCTCCAGGGGCGACCCCAGCCCAGGAGCCGAGCCCCTCTTATGCCCGGCAGCTGGAGGGGAGCCTCGGCAGCGCTGCTGCCTTGCTGCCCGTGCAGCTCTTGTCTATCACCTGCTGGCTTTAAATCAATTAAAATGATGTCATTAGGCCTTGCGTTATTCTGATTTTTTATTTAGGTAGGTTTTTGCATGATCAACTGCGGTTTGCTGTCGGGGAGCACGTCTCAAATGCTCACGCTGAATTGGAAAATGAATGTAAGAGGCAGCCTCGCAAGCGGGCGGCCACCAGCCATGGCTGGCAGGAACCCCTCTCCCTGCCAAGCAGCACCTCTAAATCCTCAGGGACCGGCTTAGGGGGGCAGCACTGCCACCCCGCAGGAGTTAAACCTGCTGGCTGTGCCTCCAGCGAGGCTCGTGGTGGAGCTCCTCGGCAGTGACCGCTATGTGATCTGCTGGCACCCTGGAGGGCAGCAGTTGGCATTTCAAGCACAGAATCATAGAATCACTTTGGTTGGAAAAGACCTTTGAGATCATTGAGTCCAACCTTTAACCTAACCCTGCCATCCCACCCTGCCGCAACCGTGCTCATCCTCCTCCCCGCTCTGACTTGGACGCAGGATTCCCTTTCCTCCACCGGCAATGAGCCCCGCTCTTAATTCCGTCGGAGCATTACGAGCGCTGCCGCTGCTGAAGGTACCAACCATCTCCATCCCGGGACAAGCGGGTCCTTGGCAAGGAACTATTCATCCCGAGCGATAAACCTAGCGATGAATTCGGCTCGGAGGTGATGGCTGAATGGGTCCACAGCTATGGGGCTGACAGCTCCCTTTCGCTCTCCAGACAGGTCCCCGATGGAGGGGAGGCACAGCACGGCCCCCCAGTGCCTCTGGGCACCCTCACTCAATCACCCTTCATAGAATCAGAATCGTTTAGGTTGGAAAAGACCTTTAAGATCATCGAGTCCAACCTTTAACCTAACCCTGCCATCCCACCACTAAACCCTGGCCCTAAGCACCTCATCTGCCCTTCTTTTAAATACCTCCAGGGATGGGGACTCGACCCCCTCCCTGGGCAGCCCATTCCAGAGCCTGACAGCCCTTTCTGTGAAGAAATTTTTCCTAATGTCCAACCTAAACCTGCCCTGGCGCAGCTTCAGACCATTTCCCCTCGTCCATCAGACCATTCCCCTTCCAGCGTCCATCTCTTACGCCCTACCCTGTACATCTTCTGTTGGCCGACACTCCGATTCATGAGCCCCCAAACTCTTCCCCTATGATTTACCGCAGGCAGGGTGACATTTCAGCCCATAGCACTTTGCACCAGAGCCTGCCTGCAGCTCACAGAGGGTTTTTTTTGGGGGGGGGGTTAGAGACCCCCAGGCCATCGCTCGGCAGCGTGATGCTTGAGCAGGGCCCTTGGAGGGTCCCCTCGGAGCACCCACTGCAAATCCAGCCTCCCAGGTGGGCTTCAGCCTACTTCACGGCACGATTTTGGCCATGTTCACATGACCGTGTTGCTTTTCCTTCTGCTACGATGCTCCTACCCTTTTAAAGGCTCTGCTTCTGCAACCCGAGTCCTCCGAAAATATCCCAGCCCTGCCTGCCAGAGCCGCCTGACGGGCTTCTCACTGGGCTGGAACCCAAAACCTCCTCATCTCCATTTGCTGAATAAGTAATGGGACAATTATCCCTCCCTGGGTAGGATGTGGACCAGCAGCTAACTGGTTTGTACTGGGCCCTGTCCTGACGCTCGGTCTTCCTTCCCTCTGCTCTGAAAGCTCCAAGACTCAGTGCGATTTGCAGCGGCAGCGACACAGGGGATGTGACAGATAATTACATCCATGAAAAATCAAGCGTGGGATGGGAAAAACCCCCTGGGGCTGGGGCTGGCTCCAGCACGCCGCCCCGGGGATGCCGTGGTAGCAACGGGGGAGCATCCCTTGCACCACAGGGCTTGGGGCTGGCACAGGGACCTCCATCATGGGGACGTCCATCACGGGGACGTCCATCACGGGACATCCATCATGGAGACATCCATCACGGGGACGTCCATCATGGGACATCCATCACAGGACGTCCATCACGGGGACGTCCATCAGGGCAAGCGCGTGGCATGGGCTCTGAGCGAGCATGCCGCGATGGCAGGAGCCACTGCGTGCACTCATTTGGGCAAATTTCTGCCTTCCCCATGGCGGATCTCAGCGGTTCGCTGGGAATAGCTGGGCCTCTGTTACCGCCCAACCTGGGGAAGCCCACCCTGAGGAGCCCCAGCTCGAGCCTCCAGCCATGGGGTCCACATAGGCTTTTGCTACTTAACACCCTGAATTTATGATTTGCCTGCAGGCTCCTTCAGGAGAGAAATCCTAATTTTTTCTTTGGTAAAACCGCTCACTTTGGAGAAAAATCAGGTCTTTTTTTTTTTTTTCCCCCCACACTTAGATAAGAGGTCCTGATGCCGCACCTGAGCGCATTCAGTCTCAAACCCCTGTCTGGAAGCAACAGCCATGCTTTGAAATCTCAAACACCTCCAGCTGCGCCGGCCTGCTCCCTCGTGACCACGCACGCATCTTGGAGGGACAGTATCCCTCTCCTCCTGCTCCCATCACGGCTGTTGGCAGGGGGGCCCGGGGGCGGGCCTGCCAGCATCTCCGGTTTGACGGCCACGCCGGCCACGCCGCTCTCGTTTCTCTCCGGTCCGCACAAGCCGGGCAGCTGAGCCGCCTTCTCCAGCGAGGGCAGGAGCTGGTCCAGCTGCTCCAGTTCAGCAGCAAACTAAGGAAGGAAAAAAAAAAATCAAATCACAGGGCGATGGCTGAGCCCAACCTCAGCGAGACCAAGCGTGGCTTTCGCCTGCACGCAGCCCCCCCCCTCCCTTTGCTCGCCGAAATGCATCTCGCATGGATGGAGAAGCAACCCCGCGTCCCTCTGCCTGGCCAGGTGCACACCCCGGGGGGACAAGGACTGGCCCCCCGCCGCGCACGGGTCCCCACCCCGGAGCCCGGTCCTCGGCAGCAGCTTCGAGATGCTCGCGCGTTGCAATTAGCAGAATTATTAACGGTACGTATAACCGCCAGCTATTTAAAACAGGAGCTAATTTGCTTTGTTAATATACCCAGGCTTACGCTGAAATGATAATAATAAAAAAATGGTCTGTTCTAAAGAAACAGAAGTGACTTTTTGGAACAAGTGTCCAAAAAGCAACGCTGGCCTCGGGCATGTAATTACCCTCAATGGGCTAGTAAAATACCATTCAGCTTTTCCAGCCTTCATCAGTGCTAAGAGTGGAAGTGTAGATGTTTAGCCCGAGGCCTCAAATAAATGGGAAAGTTACTGGGAAAGGGATTTGCACCAGTGGCTGTAATAGCGGTGCTGCAAAGCAGCAGGTTGGGATTAAAGGGGCTGAGATAAACGAGCTTTGGCTAAAAAGAAAAATATCTCCAGGGAAGCTAAAATGCTTTGAAATCTAAGGACTCGTACCGCTTCCAGAAGAGCTGCCCCTCGGCGTTAGGGAAAGCCTGGCCATTAACACGGGGTAATTAATAGACAACTTGATAGCACTAGGGAAAAATCTTTGTATTTGGTGGAGGGAATGATGCTCTGGTCTGGAGAAGATGGAGAAATCTGGCAGGAACTGGGTTCTGGCTTCGACAAGAGGCTCTGCCATCAGCCGACAGCCCCTGCCCGTGATCAATAGCTGGGGGTGGCGGGGCGCCCGGGAGCGCCCCCTGCGCTTCCCCGGCTGACGGAGCAGCGGTAAAGACCTCTCACCGAGGCGACAGCTTTGCCCCTTGCCAGTAGAAATCATAGAACCACTTTGGTTGGAAAAGCCCTTTGAGATCATCGAGTCCAACCTTTAACCTAACCCTGCCATCCCACCACTAAACCCTGGCCCTCAGCACCTCATCTGCCCTTCTTTTAAATACCTCCAGGGATGGGGACTCCACCACCTCCCTGGGCAGCCCATTCCAGAGCCTGACTCATGGGAATTTTCTCCCTAAATCCTAGCGGGAAATAGTTCATAGCTCAGAAAAAATCCTCCAACCCGGCGGCGATCCCAATCGCCACTGCGGCTGTCTCCAGCTTCCCCTCCACGATGCGCGGGGCGGTGCATCGTGAGGGCAAAGCCCGGGGCGGCTGCAGGAAGCTCCACCTTGGGATGGACCCTCCAACAACGGCGGCTCCATCGAAACCATGAGCCCAGTCCAGCATCCAAGACCCAAGAGACCCCGCTCATGGGGTCCGACCACATCGGAGATTTCCTTCCTGACCTTCACCGCTCTTTTTCCCCCCCTTCCCTCCAGTCTCACGCAGCACCGGGGTAGACGACTGGAGATTTTTAATATGCGCGACAAGGCATGCGCTTGTTTTTCCTTTACAGTAGCATGTTGTGAATTAAACGATGTTTAGACACCACCGATGATGAAAAGTGCATGGCGAGCAGCAGGCATCAATATTACAGTGTATAATGGACTAAGCAGTCTCTTGCTTTTCCCCCATATCCTTTCCACCAAATCCTAACCTCAGAGCCCTGAGAAGCAGAATATCCTCCTAAACCCAGGCTCACAGGGAGAATTAAAGGCGGCAAATTTGACTCCAGCAGCAGGCTCTGCATCTCGGCTCTTCCAAAGAACGTCATTTCTTGAGCAAGCAGAACTTTAAAGCTCAAGAGAGAACCGAAGCAAATGGGAGACATCCACGATACAGCAGAAATACATCTCCTCAACTCCATCTCCTCCTGCAGGGGAGGTCACTTTGGAGGCAGAGGGAGAAGAAGGGCACAGAGGGAGCTGTGGACATCCAAAATGGACGCCAAGCAGAGATAAATCGGGGAGTAGTGAGGTTCTTGTGCTGCTCGTTGGGTATGTGAAGAGGTTGGAGGATGGAGAGGTGGGAATGAAGGACACGTGAAGGCAGCAGGGATCTTAGCAGTTGTTTTCTGGAGCACCTGGAATCTGCACCCACTTTAATGGGTATTTGATTCCTCCTCCACATCTAGAAAACACACAGTGCTGGAGGGCTGGAGCAGCTTGGGCCATCCAGTCATGCCCAGAGAAGGCTCAGACCTCCACGAGCCATTTCTGACCCAGATGGGCAAGAAAACCCACGGGGTGCAAGGGATGGAAACACGGGGTGGCTGGATATTTCTGAACAGCTTCTTCTTCCCCAACCTCCAGCTCCCGGCAAAAGCAAGGTTCCAAAATCAGTGGCAACCAAAAGGCAAACCAAAGGACACCATCTCATCTCTGCCCTTCCTCTGGCTCGTAGGATGCCCCATGTGTGAAATCAGCTTGGTGAGGAGGTCAGGGATGCTTCCAGGTGGTACCCACCCAGCAAACCTTCATCCATGGCTGGACCTTCACGTGGAATGGAGGCATTACTCCTCCCAAGACACTTGGGCAACAAAATACTTGCACAAATTAAATAATCCCATGATTTTATGGCAAGCTTCAGATCATTTGAATTTTCTGTGGAGCCCTGGCTCCTGGTGGCTGCTATTTCCATAAGGATCTCCAGCTCTCTGTCATCACTCCTCTTTTTTTCTTCTTTTCAAGAAAAGGACTCTACCCTGCTTGCAAAAACAAGCTGAAATGTAGACTGAGACCAAAAAGCAAACAAAAAAGAAGGCAAAACTTTATGTTTCATGGAATCAGAGAATGGTTTGGGTTGGAAGGGACCTTTAAAGGTCATCTAGTCCAACCCCCTGCCATGGGCAGGGACTTCTTCTACTAGAACCCATCCAACCTGACCTTCTACTCTGCCCCGGTGAGACCCCACCTAGAGCTCTGGGTCCAGTTCTGGGCTCCCCGGTTCAAGAAGGATGAGGAACTCCTAGAGAGAGTCCAGAGGAGGGCAACAAGGCTGATGGGGGGACTGGAGCATCTCCCCTAGGAGGAAAGGCTGAGGGAGCTGGGCTTGTTCAGCCTGGAGAAGAGAAGGCTGAGAGGGGATCTCATCACCACCTACAAATATCTCAAGGGTGGGGGTCACGGGGACGCAGCCAGACTCTTCCCAGTGGTGCCCAGCGCCAGGACAAGGGGCCATGGGCACAACCTGAAGCAGAAGAGGTTCCAGTTGAACGGGAGGAAGAACTTGTTGACTGTGAGGGTGCCCGAGCCCTGGCCCAGGCTGCCCAGGGGGGCTGTGGAGTCTCCTTCTCTGGAGATCTTCAACCCCCGCCTGGACGCTGTCCTGTGCCCCCTGCTCTGGGTGAGCCTGCTTGGGCAGGGGGGTGGCACTGGGTGAGCTCTGGGGGGCCCTGCCCACCCCGGCCATGCTGGGATTCTGGGATTCCAGTGATGGAGCATCCATGACTTCTCTTTGGACGACTCCTCCATGCGTGTGGACAGTGGAGGGAGCTGAGCGCTCCCAGGTACTGGCAGAGCTGCCTGCTCCCCAGCACCCTGCTCAAGGGCAGATTTAAGACAGTGTGACCTGAAGGAAAGTTTTCTCTTCCCCTACCTGAAGTTCAGCTCATGCCTGGAAGCGCAAGGATGAAGAGTCCCTTTCAAAACTTTGCTTTTTCTTTTTTTAACTCTTTCAATTTTTTTTAACTCTTGTCATTCCTATTAGCTCTTTCCCAAGCCCTACCCAAATATTGTTTGTTCTCACCCCATGAACAAGTGGCTCCAAGCAAACCTGGGGCGTTTCCATAGGGTACATCCACAGAATCATAGAATCGTTTTGGTTGGAAAAGACCTTTAAGAGCGAAAGGATGCAGAAAGGAAATAATTCCTTCCAGGCAGAAGGTGAGCTGCAGAGCCTGTCCCACAATTAATATCACTCCTAATTGACATTTTGATTCTTCAGAGAAGAACACATGAGAACAAAAACCTAGCAAGCGCTAGATTTTATTCGAAATGGCAGCTCCCCCTCCCCACGCGGCACCAAAGCAGCCAGTAACAGAAAACATGTGGAAATGAAACTCGGTCCTTAGCTGCTGAGCAGTGTGTTCCGTGCTCGAAAAACACGTTTTAAGGCTCAGCAAACCCTCTCCAGCCTCTTTTATTAACTCTTTGGAAGCACTCAGTATGGTCCAACATATAATCCTGACGCTCTCCAGCTGCCTGGGGAGGGATACTTGGAACCGAAAAGCCATGAAGGAGCCTAAAAATGCTCGGCTGCTTCCAACAGTGCAGGAGAGGGGCTTATAAACACAGCCAGGCTCGAGTCCTCCGAGCTCTGTGTGCCTGTTGGCGAGCAGAACTCAATTAGCACAGCCTCGTTTAATTAATAGGGCTTTCTGCCCTCTCTGAAGGATAGAATACCTGGAACCATCACTGATGGTCAGCAAAGAGCCTACCTGAATCCCTGGCTGGCGAGTGAATCCTGCACGTGGATGTCTGGGAGACCAGGCAAGCAAAGCTCTTCCCGTGCCCCAGCGTTTTGCCTAATTTTGGCTACAACCGCACTCCCCGACACGCTCCCAGTGTGGTGAAAGCAGGTTGGGGTGGCTCCGTGCAAGACCCCGTGCATCTCCCAGGAGGATGCTGTGCCTTCCACTGGGGCATGGTCGCGGGTACCCAGCCTACGGCAGGTTCACTGCCCACCTGCAGGCTCCCATGTGCCTCCCCAAATGAGCACATCTTGACTTGGGCCTTCCTCATCTGGAGGCACGTTAATCTAGATGATGGATCTCAAAGGGGAAATGATAGGACGAGGGGAAAGAGCCTCAAGTTGTGCCAGGGCAGGGTGAGGTTGGCCATGGGGAACAATTCCTTCCCCTTGGGGCTGTCAGGGGCTGGAAGGGGCTGCCCAGGGAAGGGGTCGAGTCCCCAGCCCTGGGGGGATTTAACAGCCGGGCAGAGGCGGTGCTGAGGGCCGGGGTTTGGG